ACCCCCCCCCAGCCGCAAAAATCCAAGACCTGCTTGCACAAATCAGCCGCTGCCAAAAGAAAAAAACAAAATCACACATATATATATATATATATATATATATATATGACTTTGGGTGGGCCGCATTATTTGGGTGGGCCGCCTACAAATCCGCGCTCACATTCTCAATAGCAATGACAGAAACTGCCTGCTTATGTAACTCCTCCTTGCCAGCAACCAGATCTGACAAAGCAAATGGAGCTTCATCCCCAACTCGACCAGGTTCTTCAAGAAGTTCAACAAGGGTGAGGGATCAATTTGGTTTTAGTTTGCAGTGCTTGGGCATGGCATGGAGAAGCACGTCCAATTGCAATCGAACACACAAAGATATTTTTGATGATTGATGCTATAGAAAGTGGTATTTAACAAAGAGATTATTTAGCAGAGGAAAAGAGTTTTGTAGCAACCTCAGATTTTTATTCAATATATTAGGTTGGTAGGTGGGTAGATAATACGCATGCATGTGTGTATACTATCATGTAAAATGTTTCTACAAATCTGATACGATAGCAGTCCTTTTTCATATATACTAGTTGGATTGCACGTGCAATGCACGTGGTAAAGTTTTTTAATTTGTTATTTTGTTATTGATTTATTTCATTAAGATATATTTAATTTAAACCATGTATTAAACATATGAATACATACATTGCACGTGATACATATTAAGAAACTACAAGAGTTAAAATTAATAATGTTTTCATAATTATGCATTGAACTTATAAAATTAATAAAGTTTTTAGTTAACTGAAAATGATTTCTGGGGATTCAAAACGCAAGAAACCCTAGAACACATAATAAATGTTGTTCCCTATTGCTTCCTAAAATTTTTTATCGAAGAACACCTTAGCAGGAATTACACACCAATCATTGAAAGGAAAAAGATCCTGGAAAGGAGAATTGATCAGATACCATCTAGTAAATAAATCGCAGCAATCAAGCATATTCTTATGCAAAAATACATATTCTACCATAAAGTTGCAGTTATCCAGACAAATGCAAGTCAATTAAAAAAACATTTCCACTCCAAAATCTTAGTCATTTTGCATCAATTCTTTATCAACCAAATCAGAATTTTCAATAGAAATACATATTCTACCATAAAGTTGCATTTTGCATCAATTCTTTATCAACCAAATCAGAATTTTCAATAGAAATACATATTCTACCATAAAGTTGCAGATATCCAAACAATGGATATCAACAAATCAGAATTTTCAATAGAAATACATATTCTACCATAAAGTTGCAGATATCCAAACAATGGATATCAATCAAATTTTATGCAAAAATACTACATGCATCATTTGTCATTGCAAATTTTACTATACTTTCTTTCTGCATTAAACTAAACAACCTACGGAATCACCTACATACTATGTCAAGCTGATTCCTCACTTTGCAACAGAAGACTGTAGGACTTACAAGATGGGCATTTTGAGTGCTTGGAGGAAATCTTTTAACTCAAACTCACGAGCCTCTTTGTTAAACCTTTCCACGAGCTTGTATTGTGTGTCGTTCAGATAAAAAGAGTGAGTAGTTTGAACAAGCCATTGTGCTTCATCATCAGTAAGCTTGCTGGTGAGCACATTGTTTCCGCGAACGAGCACAAATCCCTTGGTCTACGCAAACTCAGTGTAGTAGGTGACAGTGAAGTAAGGGCTTGCTTGAGTTCCTCTTGCTTTGTAATCCTCAAGGCTGGTGAAGATCATGTAAGGAGTTTGTACTGGGAAAATGAAGATAGAAAACTTATAAGCTTGCTGTTCTACAAGGAGTATAACTTTGAGCATGGTTTTTTGTTAATGAAAGTCAAACTGTGGCTTCTTTGCAACATTCCATCTAATTCCATTTAGTAAATGGAAATTCCAGGTATGAGAAGGCAATAGACCAAGATATAGAAACTTTGTGTCATATGATCATTTAAAAAAAACCAAAAAAACATGATAACCAAGGAAATCAACAGTTTTTTCCTTCAGAATTAAAAGTATTTCTGATTAGTTGCAACTTAAAGGGAGCAAGAAAAAGTAATCTTCTGTATATATTACATTACACATCACATTTTCATTTATTTTTGTTTTTAATTTGTAGAACAGATTAACTTTTATAAGATGTTAGGAGTAATTTGAAATGTTTCAGTCACTTGAAAATAAACCAATCAATGACATTCTATGTCCAAATGCTGGAAATATAGAGAAATACCAATCACAATCAATTCAAGATATAATATTTAGGAAAAGTTTCTCCTTTCTGCATTGAATTGCTAAAATGACAGTAGCTAAATTAACATGGGTGAGCCATGAAATACACCAACATTCTACTTGATTGAACTGAAAGTCAGGATAATTGCAAATATGAGTTAACATAATATCACATTTTGTGCTAATGGATGAAAGTGAAGAATTAGAAGGGTTCATGAATTCTATCAGAATCTTGCATTGCGAGGGATAACCTGAGCCTAATAAGGGACAGTGAAAAGTCCAAACTCCCCCCTAAAAAAGGTGCACTGCTTGGCTGAGAATGTCCCGCGCCGGTTTACTGTGATATGAACTAACTGAATGTATGTACTTACATCTAGATGCTTAATTGGTTCATCAGGTATACTATGATACATAAGACCTTTCTTCCATGTAGAACTTGTGCATGTGCACTGCATAGGCCTCTTTTACTTTGTGCTACCTTAAAAAAAAAAAGAAATATTGACCTTATTTTAAGTCTTTCCTGATATTAGAATGATACAAATATATAAAGGTCTAACCATAAACATTGCACCATCCCTCGAATGTGGAATCAAATGAGGACAGAAATGAACTAAATCCAGGAAATTGAGCATATGCATTCAGATGAACAGAAAATGCTTTTCAAATACCACAGATGATCACAACTTACAGATTGAATGCTCAATGTATTGGCTTTGGCTTTAAGAGTTTCAACATCGCGGTCCAAAAGATTTTTCCAATCTTCAAGTTGGGTTTCATCCTGAAACATCCAATGATTATTTAAATGTTCTGCATAATAATTTATAATAATAACCAAAAATATGTACCTGTGGTAACTGGATTGTCACTTTATTCGGGAAAAGCTTGCTTAGATGTTTCATTGTCTTTGGAATTTCCTTGCCTTTGTCATGCAGCCTACTCAAATTATCCTGTCAATCAAGGGTATGTGTTGCTTTTGAATAAGTAAATGAGAAAGAAATGAATATTGCAGTTGTGATGGATGCCAATGCTATTTACGGAGAAAACTTAACTCTATGTACGCGATGAGCTACAAATAATATTGTTTCAAACAGTTACCCAATTCAAAACACATAATAACATTAGTACCAGCTATAAAGAAGCTCGAAGAACGTCAAAATCATTGATAAAAAACATGTTTTTAAAGTCAAAATAATTTATGAAAAAAAATGCTTCGTAACACATTATACACATTACGAAACGTAATGACAGCTTCAAGTTACGAAATAGAAGCGCATTATGGTGAAGTAGTCCATCCTGAAATGAAACACACGTTGTACTAAAGAATGAGGTAGAAAAAATATATGCAATCAAGGCAACCCAAAAGACGACTTGCAAAAAACATGGGCACACTCTTATGTCAGAGAGATAGTTAGTTCACCAAGTGAGAAAGTGTAGATGGAATTTATGATTGAATACATTGTCGTTGCATCATGAGTACATGGTAATCCAAGTGAGAAAGTGTAGATGGAATTTATGATTGAATACATTGTCGTTGCATCATGAGTACATGGTAATCCATCATGATTGCTATTAGCCAGATTTTATTTCTTGCTGGCAATTAAAGTTTTTTCTTTCAAGGCATTGACTGACAGTTACAGAGTTTAAAGCTTAAGGATATTAAAGCAAAGGACCTGGTTTCGTTCTTATGAGAAGCTTATAGAAAAACTTCAAACCAAATTTATTTATGCAGATATAGAAATATAATGGAAGAAGCTTCAGAACAGGACATTTAACATTTTTTCTATCATGTACCTGATACAAGATTTTCAATGATTATTCCTCAAGATACCTAAGTTACTTGAACAGTTAAAATTTAATTTTTCGCAAAATATCATAAGTAGAAATTGTTAAGTACTTTTATCAGATTACATAGTTAAAGTATCCCCAAATAAAGTTAGGTTAAAGATTTTATTATACGCGCGAAAACCATAAGAAGTACCAATGTACCCAAAATTCCTCAATATATATTTGATGGTATGACCTGCAATACATTTCATACTGTATATATTATTATAAAATAGTGCGCACTGTACAGATGACTTTCTTGAGCTTTATTATGCTTTAGAGAAATGCCTAGGCTAGAAGTGGGCACTGACTTTTAACAACTTGATCTCAGGTCAGTATCCAATTGAAGTTCGAAGGAACTTAGTTTTTCCTCATATTTCCTTGAATTCGAGTAGCCTGGTTCTATTGTAACAAAAGATTCCCTTTTTATGTGGAAAAGACCCTTGGATTGTACATACCCAAGAGCGCAACAAAAGGAGTGAGATATACCTCACTTTGTACAAAAAATAAAGAGCAAAATATGAGTCAGTAGTGAAATAGCTCTTTAAAGGGGAAATAAAAGTGGGAGAAAACCAACATATTGTATAAAGTAGAACCAAAAGTTCAGTTATATAGATGTGCATCACGAGTTTATTTTTAAATGAAATATGTGTTATATATTGGGTAAACATCTAAATAAATGTTTATATGTATTTATTACTAAAATATGTGTTATATATTGGGTACACATCTATATAAATGTTTATATGTATTCAAAAAATGTCCAAGGAGTGCCCGACATGGACACAGATACGAAAAGTGTAGGACACATATACAACGACCTAGATGAAGCGACTTTAGGTGTTAATGCAACACTATACCGCATAAGACTCTATAACCAATCCTCAGGTATAATCTTATGCGACTATGCCGCATTGACCTTTAGAATATAAGATGACAACAAGAACATGCCCAGGGGTAGGTTTATTAGATAATTAGATCAAAGCATTGCTTGTTTCCAAATACAAAGTGATATACTAATCAGGGGTAGGTTTATTAGATAATTAGATCAAAGCATTGCTTGTTTCCAAATACAAAGTGATATACTAATCATACATAACAAGATATTAAAGATGAAAGCATTGGAGGAACTACGAGATCCTAGTTGCAAAATTAAACTGCTTACAGACATAATGAATGTATTTTCCAACAAATTAAAACATATCAACAACATCCATTCCAAATACAATTAAGAAACACAAGAATAATAATTGAGAAATAAACACAAGAATAAGAATACAAATAAATGTTTACAAAGGCACAGATATCATCTAGAAGCTTGTTGACTTACTGTTAACGCAACAAGTTGTACCTTTGGATTCCTGTGTCCAATAAGCTTTTTAAGGCCTTTAACGACCTCCTTCGCTAGTCTGTTGTACATAAAACAGGTAAGAACTACAACATAAGGCAAATACAGATGTGATCTATTTAGTCAAGATAGACATATGGATGCATTTGATTTGCCAAAATATATAAGGAAAAAAATTCATGTTTATGGATAAAGATTTGACTGGGTGAATGCAATCTTCACATTTTTCAATTGCTCTTTGAATGATAGAATACAATCGTGATCACCAAGCTATTAAGTATACAAATATTTAACTGTATGATAGATTTTTGAATGATAGAATACAATCGTGATCACCAAGCTATTAAGTATACAAATATTTAACTGTATGATAGATTGTGTGCTATATATTTTCCTTTTGGCACGCTTTTGAGGTTTTATAATTAGGAGTATAGGCTAAAACTAAGATAATCAATAGATAAAGTGAAACACCTAACACTTTCATATATTTATATTTAATCACTGAGAGTATTAAGTATTCCGTTACCAAAATATGTAAGGGAAAGTATCTGCCTACATTTACACTCAATATGAAAGACAAGAAAATACAACTGGGATAAATCTAGATATTGATGCTATACGTGGATTAGATTATTCTATATGAAGCGAGAACTTAGCTATTTTGTTTACAATCATGGAAGGAAATGGTAGGAGATGGAACTCAAGTGCCACTCTTATCTTCTAAATTCACGTAGATTTGTTTTTCCATCCGATTTAATTCTTAAATGCTATCTTAGACCAAAAAAAGAAATACATATCACATATAACACATTTTCTCATCATTATTTTATTTTACGATTCAGTAAAAATAAAATATTATCTTAAATTTGTAACTATAACTGTATTCGTTACACCTCGTAGAATTGTGGACTGTAACTTTGTTTTGTGAAGCTGCTCTTGAATGGAAGGCAGGCTGCAGCTTTGATAGAAACCCAATCCTTTTCTCTCTCTCTCTTTCTCTCTAAAAGGAGGGAAAAAAAGGCCGGTCCCTTCTTACATGGACTCTGTTTTTTTCTCTTATGCTTAGGATTGACGTCAACTGTTTATAATATTTTTTTGTTATTTCGATTATTGGTCAACAAGAAAGTTGCAAGTTCTTGTACATCAGTAGAATTATTGGTTTCCATCTATAAAAAAAATCAGTCAGTAGGTCCAGTGCACATTTTTAGCTAATTATAGTTGACTATTGCCATATTATTATATCTATGATGCAAATGTATGTGATTCATTTATGTGGTTTACTGTTAATACATGTACGTCAGTATTTCACTTCTGTAATATTTTTCATTAAATTTTGTTGGTTTGAGAGAATATGTGTGACAATGTCAAGGCAGAAATATGTGTATTTAAGTGTACATAGTCTATAGCTTCTTTGTTATTTGCTTGTGATCTAGGCATATCTAGCATGGAAATTGTTCAAATGGTTCACATGATAGACATTGTATGTGTGCCTGCACTATGGAAAGATACCAAATTTTATTTTTTTTCTCTCTAGCAACTTGCTCATGAATTACTGGTTTATACATTCCTAACATATTGTTTGTTTTCTTAGTATGGACCTATTAAAGATATTGATCTGAAGATTCCGCCAAGGCCTCCACGTTATGCATTTGTTGAGGTACTACTTTATGAAATCCTATTTATCAAAATGAATCAATGTCATGAAATGAATATCTTCTGTGGGGCCCTTTTCATTTGTAGCCTTGACTTTTTATAATAAAAAACTGCCTTCTAACAATTCAATGAAAGCTAAATTATGTTAGCCTATTTTATTGACTGCATAATTGAAATGAAATGTATATGAAAGTTGAAGTTTATGTGTTTGGGGCTGATATTTCTTATTGGTTCATTTTATGTTTAGATAGTTTAACCTAACAATGTCGACGTTGATGTTTTATGTTGTCGTTTTACAGTTTGAAGAAGCTCGTGATGCTGAAGATGCGATCCGTGGCCGCGACAGCTATAATTTTGATGGTCATAAGCTACGGGTATGTTGCTGCTTGTTTCTTTTTTTCTTTTCCTTCATTTTCATTTCTTTCTTTTGTTCACAACAGTGGTGCAGAGAGAGTTCTGTGTAATATGTTGTACTATCTCACTACTGTGAGCTGTTCCAGGTGGAACTTGCGCATGGTGGAAGAGGGCATCCCTCACCTTTTGAACATCATCGTAGTTCCAATGGTGGAGGTGGAGGTGGCCGTGGTGGTGTCTCAAGGCATTCAAACTATCGAGGTTCACTTTTGAATTGGTTTTATTTATGTAGAACTTTAGGTGCTGCTCTTTTTATGCATCTCCATTCTAAGACATGTTATGCGATACAGTGAAGGTGACTGGTCTGCCATCATCTGCATCATGGCAAGACCTGAAGGTAGTGCCCAACCTTGTGTCAGTATGATTTTTCACTTATTATTTCCTTTCAAATTGTCTACTAATTAACATGTACATTCTCTGTGATTAGGACCACATGCGTCGAGCTGGTGATGTTTGTTTCTCTGAAGTATTCTGTGATGGCTGAGGTGATCTATTTTTTATGCACGGTCTATGTGTTTTGATCATTCTCCTTTATGCTTCTGAAGATTTATTGTAACTAAAACTGCAGAGACAAATCTGTCTGAATCGCACAGACATTTCTGATCCAAATAAGTAATTCACTCTGTTTCCGTATATGTAAAATCTTTTAAACTAAGAACACGAGCAATAGGTTATATATATTTTCTAAATTCAAACAGGAGAAAAGTATAGCTTAAATTTAATTTTCAAAAGAGGACTGCATGACATTGAATAAAGTTTCAGAAAATACATACTGCAAATTTAAAAATAGTAGCATGAGGTGTCAAATATGTAATTAATCATAGAATTAAAAAAGCATCTGAACTTAAAACAAGTATTCAAAAATTTCCATTCATGCATAATGTGCATAATTTCAATTTTAGCTGAAGTGAACAAAGTAGATAATCTATGTTTAATTTCTAAATTATTTGAAATTAAACAATAATTCATAGTTTGCATTCAACCAAGGGAAATTCTAAAAAAATTAAAATAAATTACAGGCGAAATCAAGAACTAAAAAATAAAAGAACTCAATTAAAATAAACTTACTTTATACTCGCGATACAGCTGCTGAAGGTTTGTCGCTTGAATCTGTGGAAAATTGAGATTTAGGTCAAAATTTTTAGAACAAAATTAGAGGGATGAAGATCTGAAAGGCGATAGGGTGAATTAAGCATAACTAAATCTTAGATCTAGGGTTTAGTATAGAGGAGCGAAGACGAAGAAGGCATATCTTTCTGAATGGCAAAATCCAGAAAACTGTGTAGATGAATGCTGAGCCGTCGAGTTTATAATTTGGGCATTAATAGTCATCTTGGCAAATTGATGATTGGAAGTTCGCGGGACGGCGATAACAGTAAGCGATTACCTCTTCGGCTTCAGCGGAGAAAGGCGCTTAGGTAAACCGAAGATCTCTTCGGCTTCGGCAGAGAGGAAGGCAGATTCACGGAGGCGAAAATTCCTGAAGCTGAAGGTGAATTTAATGTGACGAAATTATATAAGGGAGAAATTGGGTATATTTATGATGGTTGAAGGTTAATTTCGGGATGGGAAAGTTTTTCAGGAACTGGCTCTTTTAAAGGGGTAATAGATATGCACGGGAACTAACATATAAATTGATTATCTCCTGTTATTTTTCTTTCTTTGGCAAATGCTAGAATTGTTAGGATTCACCCCAATAATAACGCCTCGAACGGAGACTTAATCACAAAATAAAGGCACAAAATTCAACACAGAGTACTCACAGATATACGTGGTTCACTCCTTCGGAGCTACTCCACGGTGCAACGACGACGCCAAATTCTTTAATATCCCAAAAGAATTGATCCAAGAGAACACCCTCTCTTGATCAGATACACTCCAAGAACTCTCACAAACTCTCTCTTTGTTTTCTCTTACTCTTCTATAAGAGGAGTTGTTTCTGGGATGAGATTTCCTTAAGAGTTTAGGGCCCTATTTATAGTGTTTGAGAAACACTATGCACAAATAAAATATTATTAGTGGGACCCGTCATTAATAATATTTTACTGTGGGACCCACCACCTTTTTCATTTTTCTCAAAAATCGGCCACCGAATTCTCTAATGTTCAACAAAGGCTGCTGGGGGTCAACAAAGGCTGCTGGTTAACAATCTCCCACTTGAAGATTTGATTGAATATCAATCATATCTTCACACCATTCTTGGTAGTCAACCCTATTATGGGAGTATTCGTCCTCAGCAGTTTGAAACTTTCTAGAGTTGTCTTAAATGATAATAAAGAGAGTTCTCTGCAACAGAACCATTGTGGAGGTATATTCTAAGTCAGGAATACATCTCAGGCATTTCTCGTGACTTGTATTTAAAATCAAAAAATGATAAATGCAAGAAACAATGAGAAGTCAATATCACTTTTTATTCAAGAACCAAAAGAAAGTGATACAAAACAAACTTTGTTCTTGTCAAAAGAACATTACAGAAGCCAAGCTCACTCATGCATTAAATCAAAAGAGATGAGTTGAGCCTTGAGTTCAGCTAGCTCCGCCTCGTGGTTAGCTCGCACCATAGCTTCAGCCTTTGCTCGGAGTTCATCCTCGCTGGGTATGATGATGGCCGCCACTTCCTTTCTGGCGTCTTCCAGAGCTTGAGCTTGTGTATGATATTCCAAAGTACCAGTTGCATTCTGGGTACTAAGGATGTTGACAATGCCTTCTTCTCGAGAGAGTTCAGCTTTCAATCGCAGGACTTCGGCTTCAGCTTCAACCAGTCTGTCCCGAAGCGAATTCATAGAAGCAGTTGAGCGTTCTAGTTCTTCTCGCTTCCGAGTGTTACGCTCACGAAGCTCTGCGATCTGACGCTCTTTTTCAGCTAAGCCCCGTTCTAGCGTCTCTCGGTGTATCACTTCAGCGACCTGAAGACTAGCCAAAGTGGACATAATTTGCGGCTGAAGGTCACTATGGCCCATGGTCTCGAAGCGTTGTAATTTCTCCTCCAAACGAAGGATAATCTCTGAGCAGCGTTCGAACCATTGAGTTTCGCCCACACTCCTGACCCCGTTTAAGCCTGCTTCCAGCAGAGGTCGAAAGGAGTTCAAAGTTCCTTGGCCATTCATCAGGGACTCAACTACCGTCTTCGCAAGACTGTTTAGATACACCAAGGAGATTTGAAGGAATTTAGGTGCATTAGCGAGACTGACAATTGCACCCGAAGATACCCCTTCAGCAGCTGAGATTGAGGCATTAAGATGATGACTAGCAGGCGATCCAGGTGCCGAAGCTGCAGAGGCGATTGAAATGTTCAATTGCGAAGGACTTGAGGTCAAAACCATCAATGCTTTCGCCTGAGAAAAGCTGGGCCCAGCCTCCGTTGGGGTGAGCGAGATCTTCATCACCGCTTTTGGTGAAGTAGCTACTACAAAAGAGTCAGGCAGGGGTTGCTCTTGCATAGGGGCTAAAGCTGGGCCCAGCCTCCGTTGGGGTGAGCGAGATCTTCATCACCGCTTTTGGTGAAGTAGCTACTACAAAAGAGTCAGGCAGGGGTTGCTCTTGCATAGGGGCTGATACCTGCATGAGCTGTTGTTTCGGAGGAGGAGTAGCGGTAGTAGTTTCAGGCAACGCTACAGGCGGAACAGTCGCCGTAGGAGAACCAGGTAAATGTTGCTCTTCTAAAGGAGCCAACACTTGCGCAGGTTCTTGCTCTAAAGGAGCAGCTGAAGTAGTCCCGAGAGTAGGTGAACCTGCACGAAAAAACGGTCGGAACGCAGAAAAAGCATGTGGAAGAAGTCGAAACAAACCAAGCTTACCGGTAAGATAAAAAGGAGTATAACCTGATGCTTTATCAGACGGGACCTTGGGAGCATCATCATCAAAAGTGGTGACGTCATCAATGGAATCATGCTCATCGTCATCTTCACCTTCACCTGACATGTTGCCAGCATCGGCGTCCTCATCACCTCTATCTTCATCAGCTGCATCACCAGTTGGGGAGTCGTCATAATCAACTCGCTCCTCATCATCCTGAGCAGCTGAGGGCTCAAGGCTTGCACCATCAGTTGGTCTTCTCATAAGTCCCGTCGTAGGACTAGGAACCATATCATCAGCTCGTGACATTAAGGCTGAAGGAGAAAGGGATGGATTCTCTTCAAGACCCCCTGGTTCTAAGGAAGGAGACCTGGGAAGGTCCATCACTGGTGCAGATTCTGCGTCCGCCTCCAATAATTCATCCTCTTGATCCTCAGGAGGATGGTAAGAAGAGGCTTCGCCCGATAAAGCTGGGCCGTGAGAACGAAGGCCAGCTCTATGCGGCAGGCCCGCCACGGACGATTCCTGTTGTTCTTCATTTATAGCAGCTTTGATGGCCTCAGCCATCAACTTGGATTTTGGCTGGTCTTTGGGAGGAGAATCCACCAGAAGTTTCCGTCGAATCTGCTTATCATACTGGCCAACTTCATCAGCAGAAAGTTTTCTTTTCCCAGCTGCTCTTGTCATAGGAGGATCAGCCGCTCGTTGTTCTTCCACTGGAACGGGCTCAGCTCCTTGTTCCTCTTCTTGTCCGTCAGATTGATTCTCGATGGACAGAAACTCATCGATCCCTTTCAAACGGGATGTCTTGGACCCCTTCCTTAAATTATACATATGCCTAATGTCTTTCAGGCAAGATGTATTCAAGTTATAGTTGGGAGTCTGAGAAGCAGCGTAATACCAATTGCAGAAGCTGATGGAGGTATAGGAATTAGCAGTTTTGTGGGGAAGCTTGAAGACGGCTTTGGTACAACCCGCTACAGAATAATAC